CGTACTTATCAGTTTCACGGGCTATTTGTTGCATCTCCTCCACTGGCTTTTTTTTTCTTTGAGGATTTATCACTTAGCTGTTGGGATGTATCAAAAATAGATTTGGTGCTAGAAACGTTGAAAAGTGTTATTGCTAAATACTGATCATGCTGCTCGATAATATAACAAATGGAGCAATGCTTTGTTATAGTAATTAATGTTTAGAGAAACCGTCTGAGTATATTTAATTTGCCAGTTTTCTCGACTGTTTTGAATAATGAAAAAAAATTTTTTTTAAGAAAAAGAAACGTTTTTTGTACTAAAATGTAATGTCTCATATTTTTGAAATTTTTTGGATTACTAGACGTTTTTGGTTATGTAGATATCAAGCTTAAATACAGAGCATTCGTATTTTTAGAAGGTATCACATGAATTTTTTTTAGTGATAATTGGTGCTTTTTTCTTGGAAAATTTCTGGGCGCTTTTCTTCTTAAAATAGTGCCTTTGGAATTTTTTTGCTGCTTCTGCATAGATTCGGGAATCTTCCAAATTACTGCACCCATTTTGGCTGGCTTCTAAGATCACCTAGCCAGAATTTGCGCCTGCATTCAAGGCGTTGCATCTTTTTCCTTTCACGCTTGAGATTTTTTAAGTTCTTCATATTACTTTCATGCTACAATCATGCGATAATCAGCTAATCAGCTTAGCATGTCTCTAACGCAAGTGGAAGGCGTAGAATAGACAAATCTCTTTTAGCATGTTGTAACCTTTAGACTGAAGTAGTTTTCGCATATTATTAAATGATGAATTTATGCTTAAGGAAGTACGGTGGCAGTTCGATGAGGATGTGCATGCATGCAGCCAGTGCCAAACAAGTTTTTCAAAAAATCGGGGTAAACTACATTGTCATCATTGTGGCAAAATTTTTTGCTCAGCTTGCCTGAGTGCTACAGTGCCCAGTGGTCCACATCGAAGGCCAGCCAAGGTGTGCCAAGTTTGTCATACGCTTCTTAGCAGGTAAGTATTGCTCACGTTCACTTGGCCAATGCTTCTAACCACTGTCAGAATGGGTAGACTCTAGAGGCAACATACTGTGGTTCTGATGTATTATAAGTTTGTTTATTTTTTTT